CAGTAACTCATACTGAACAGAAGCTGAATCAACTCAGTGGAAGACACAAGAGACAAGATGCAGAGCAGGAGTGCATAGAGAACTGCACAGCTGGGAATGAAGCAGGGAAATACCTGGAAGTAGAGAGGGATAGCCTTTTCAACAGCCTGGAACACAGTTGCAATGGCTGGTGTTCCACAAATGGTTGAGTGCATCTCTTAAAGGACACCACACTTGTTCCCAGCAACCTCCACAGACAAAATGCCACCCAAACAGCACCTTTAATTATGCTGCTGCTGGAATCTGTTCCATCTACATTCTGTTATTGTACATGGTTTACTGAAAAAGAGCATAGCATCTCACAAATTACCTAGTGAATAATTCCAGAGACTGTAAGAAAGTGTGACAAGCCACACACTTCAAACTGAAATCTAGGCTCTGCTTGTCATAAAATATCTCTGTATTTTTGGACTACTGAAAAGGATATCATCCACCACTGTTACAGTCCACATCCTGTCTCAATTAAAAAACAAAAACAAAAACAACAAACAAAGAAAGAAAAACAAACAAAACCAAAACATTAAAACGTGGTTGATGAAGAGTATAAATTACTACCCAGGTAAATCTAGGGGAAAAATTATTTCCAGGAAAATGACATTAAATTACTAATAGATTTCAGTTAAGCAAAACAGTTACTAAAAAAGTCTTGGTATATTAAAAGCATAACTGGCTAGTAAGCTTACAGAGAAGATCATAAAGCCTGAGAAAACACTGTTGTAATTATATTAGTGATGTTCTACACAAAGTCAAATTAAGTAATAAACCTACTTCAATACACAAATCTTACCCGTGTGTCTGTCATGGACTTCTGTGGCCTGCAGTTATCTGAGTAAACATTTTTGCAAAGACAGTTCTGACTGATCAATATGTCTCCCCCCACTCCTAACTCCACTGCACAAGGCAGGACACCAGACACACAAACAGTGAGAAAATTTTACAGCTTTCCATATCTACAGTATACTTATTTTGTATAAAATACCCCTTTTTGAACAGCCAAGAGTGGATTTTATCTATTAAAAAGCTTTTCTAGACATTCTCAAAAACATCAGATATTAAAAATGCTGTGAAAAATGCTCTCTGTCACAAATGAAGGAACATGAAGTTTAATAAACATTCTAGAAGAAAACACTGGTAAAACGTTTATAATACTCTCAAAGTGTTGCATATTTAATATTTATAAATATTCTCTACAACTTTTTTTAGAAAGAATCCTCCTACTTATTAATTTAAAGTAATTACTATACCACCCATAAAACATTAGAACTAAATTTAGCAGGTGAGCTAAATCTGACTAAAATAAATTAATCCTAGCTCAGTACTTTACTACTTACTAAGAGCTTCAAAACTTCTTCTGAAAGTACTGCTTTCAGAAAGCTCCCTAAGTAACCACAAACCAAACCTATTCTGCAGCATGGACTGGTGTGCAGTGTCTCCTCTTCTACACCTCCCCTTTGCCAAAGAGGAGACATTAAATTATAAGTGGCTTACCTAAGATCACAGGGAGGGTTAGACATCCCAGTCACTGCCTTTATCTGTGATCATCATCCTAGTGTTTAACTACTTTCTTACTAGTCTGCTTTTATTCATGCAACTGTTTAGCTTAAACACACACATTTTTCTTCACCCAGCTATTTCAGCATTGGCTCACAAACCACTAGAACATTAGTGACAGTGTCTAAGATGCTACTCAGAAATACACTTAGAAAAACAAGCTCAGCAGCAGCAGGCTTGATTTCACTGCATTGGTTTTGCAGCAGCATTGAGGAAGCATTAAAATGCCTACATAGCAAAAAAAAAAAATCAAATTAAGGATTGTCAGAAAGTATACAACAATTACATCAAAGTTACATTTTTACCTTTTAACAGATATAGGAAACCAATTACATAGGAGTCTCAAAACACCTTTGAAAGAGTGTTAAAGGCCCAAAAGCAAAGCAAAAAGCATGTTTTAATTCTTTTGCCTACTCTTCCAGGGTACATTAGTTGGAAACATACAATTTTCATTGTTAAACAACTCCCAGGCATCATCTTCATTTTAAGATCATCTTAACACAGCCCACCGCTAAAAAGCACTGTCCCAGTCTTCCCCTAAGTACTGTCAGGCATTTTGCTCTTACAGCCTCAGGTGAGGTATGAAAGACTGACTGAGAACTCCTGCCATTAATTTGCAGCTGAATCGATGAGCTTAAACTTTGAAGAAACAGCATGTCAAACTCCCTTACAACTTTGTGATTCCTGTTGTTTTTTGTATGCCTCTAATCACATTATTACTTTTATGTATGCCACTCCAAAAAAATCAGTTAAAAGTAAAAAGAAAAACGTAAGGAACAAGAAGTAGCTATATGTTTTGTTTACAACAGACTGACAAAAAACGTTCAGCTGGAATAATTTCAGAAAAGTTCGATAAAGTTACTACAGTTGATCAGTTCCTTAGAAAGTTCTCCTTATAATTAGAAGATACTGAAGAAAAGTAACCACTGGCACTTCCCTATTCTTCACATTTGATCTATTTTTGTCTCAAAGACATAACTAAATTAAATTTATCTTCAACAGCAGGAAACTTCCTAATATTTTTTAAACAAGTTTTTAAGACAAAAGTAAAGATGTTACAAATGCATGTAACTTTGATATTTCTAATCACAGAACAATTTAGTAACTAGTGAACCATGAACAGCCCTATTTTCATGGGACAAACCTTGCAGATGCAGTGGGGACACTAAGTTTTGATAAACTGCATCAGCTTTAAAAATGCACTTAATCTAATTATGAGACTATTAAAAACTGAAAAATTACCACAAGAAGTAAAATCAGCCTTGTTAATTGTAAATAAGTAAACTGGATGAGGAAAAACTCTTATGTAGGTTCAGTTACTTTTTTTTCCTTAGGGAAGAACAACTTCAGAAGGGTTAAGATAGGGCCTGTAATTCTTCCAAACAAACAGGCTGAATCTCTTAACTAACCTTAAATATACTTATTTTGATCACACAGGAAAAAAAAAATCCCTACAGAAAATGTGATGTATCACTGTATCAGAACTGGTAATCTAGATTCTAAAATTAATTTACATTTTATAAGCCAATACAACTATTTGATTCAAAAGTAGAATGGCAAGAGAAAAAGATTAATTTCATTAGCTAATTTCATTAGCTGAAAGTCATCCTCAGTTGATGTAACTAGTCTGCTGTTTGCAAGGTAATTTCTCCTTTTCAAGCTAGCATAATAAAATACCATTTATTTCCACTGAAAATACTGTTTAACTGTTGAAACCTCTCAATTCAAAAGAAACTGACTAAAGGATGTTGAGGTCGAGAGAAGACATCCCCTAAAATATAGTTAACACAGAAACCTCTACCTTATCTTTTCCCTCTAAAAGTAAAATTGCATTACTCCCATTTTGTATTTTAACATCCCAAATGTTAAAATGCATCTACATGATACTAATTTGTGTTCTGAAAAGGTGTGAGTCTACAGAGCAGGGAAGTTGTTTATCCCTACAAGTAGCCATAACCCAGGTAGCAAGGCTTAATATGCTTAACAGTGTGCCTTACTTATGAACATGCTTAAGGACATGCAAAATAGAGGATAGTTTTGCACAGTATGTATTTCTAACTATGTATGTGCTTACAAAAGTTCTTACGTACAAAGGGCACCAAAAAAAAAAAAAATCTTCGATTACATTCCAATTCCTTTCACACACTGCATGTCACTTTAACGCTCATTAAGGGTGTACCAGCAAAGTCAATAGGAATGCCTGAAAATAAGCTCTGTACAAGTTCCACGGCGGATCACCTCAAACATCACTCTTCGAGACTTTAATTAACCAAACTTAAAACCACTATATTCAGAGTGTGTTTGTAAATAACTTTATAAAAAGCAAAATAAAAGGCAAAAATAAAATAGCAGAGCACTGGCAGCTCAATTTGACTCTAACCCGCTAACCCAGCACAACCGCACTCTAGCAACCTGCTTCTACAGAACAGGAAAGCGAACTTACTCACTTGTTCCTGCAAACCCGACTCGATGCCCGCCAGGGAAGCGCTCCTTCGGGAGAGGGCACCCGGAGGTCTCTCAGCGGCGGCTCCTGCCAGCCGGGAGCGCAGCCGCAGGGACGCGCGGGGCCCCTCCCGCGCCGGCCGAGCCCCGCAGGCCCCCGGCGGCAGCGCCCGCCGGCCCCGCCGCACCCCCGGGCACGGCCCCCGCACAGGCACAGCCGTCCCGCTCCACGCAGCCCGGGCGGCCGCCCCGACAGCCGCCGCGGCCCCTGCCCGCCCCGCGGCCGCCGGGGGAACGGGGAGGGAGCTCCTCCAAGTCCTCGGCCCACGGGGGTGCTGCGGCTGCCGCCGCTCCGAGAGGCGGCCGGGACGGAGACCTACCGGCGAGACGAAGGGAGCGGGGCGCAGGCTCGGTGTGCGGCCCTTCACCTCCGGCACCGCTTCCCGCCCCGCCCCGCCCCTGCTGCGGGAGCTCGGAAGCGGGGCTGGCCGGAGGGCGCTCCGGGGCGGAGGGAGAGAGGGAGGGAGAGAGACCGGTGGCGGCGGCGCTCGGAGAGGACGCCCCTCCCCAGCGCGGCTCAGGCGCTGCGGGCGGGACGCGCCGCTCGCCCTCTCGCGGGTGATTGACAGGGAGCACCGGCAAATCGAGGTGCGGGGAGAGCCGGGAGGAGGCGGGGCTTGCGGGTGGGCAGAGCGGGCAGCCACTGAGGGCCAGGTGGGGCGGGGCCGCGCGAGGGGGCGGGGCCGGCCCGGGGCGCTCCGAGAGGTCCGTTCGCGCTTCGGGCACGGGGCGGAGACCGCCCGCCCACCCCCGGCCCCGCCGCTGCCCGCGAAACTGAGCCCTCCGCGGCAAAGGAGCTGCGCGCCTCACTCGCCTCAAGCCTCTCCTTAGTAGCGGCAAAGGTACTTGTTTAAAATGAGAAGGGCTGGCTTGCAGGGATTGCCCCGTGCCCGGCGGCGGTTGAGCCAATGCCAGACCGCAGCGGCGGGGCGCTTGGAAGCGCATCTCTCTTTAGTCCTCTACTGGGTACCGGTCCCCGAAATGCCGGCATCCTTCGGCGCCTGCCAGTTCTCAAAAGTGCTGCTGTCCGTCTTGTGGTCCCCGGATTTGGCAGCACGGCTCGTTTGACGCTGTAGTTAAAGGTGGGTGAGGTTACGCCCTGCTAGTTGCGCTTGGCATCCTGCATTCCCTGTGTATCCCTGCAGGAAACGGGGAAATCAGAACCCCGCTCTTACTGATGCCTGCGAGAGCTGCCGTATTGAAAAAAATACACTTACAAATTCTAGAAAATAGACTGCGTGGACGCTCATGCTAAAAAAAAAATCTTTAGGCCCTTTTCCTGTTCTCCGATCAGGACAGAGTAGCATTTAGGCCACTAAGGTCTAAGGCTTTAAGTAAAAGAATTATTTTTTTTTTCCATTTGAAGGCTTAGAAACAACTTTAAAAGTTTATTAAGAGCTTGTTGTGCAGTCATATGGAGGAAACAGAATGCAAAGGATAAGTGTTGCAGCTTCTGACAGATCTTGGAGTATTGCTTGTTGAAATAATTTTTTAGGTAAAGTTTGCATCTTCCAGAACATTCCAGAATTCCTTGCAGAACAAGGAATTAGAAGCAATATAGACGCAAGAGACTTTCAGAAGTCATTTGCTCAAGCTGCATCCCGTTGTCTCAGTAGACACTGAATTACTTTTGCCAAAAGTTCTCCATAGACAATCTATGCTGTTACTCCCATTAAGAGAGATTTTGCTGATATTTAACTGTGATCTTGCAACTTAGGCCCATTGATTATTGCCCTGTATTTGTGCCAAGTACTTCACAGTGTGCTTATATATAAGGCAGACCTTATATATAAGTCTTGTCATTCATTCTCAGGAATGTGTAACTCCCCACTTACCCTGTGGAGCATAAATTCACCTTCAGAACTTCTAAGTTTCCTCCAGCAGTTCACCTGATGTTCTCTGGCATCATACAGCATGCAGTCTGAGGACAATACAGAGAAGTTTGTGCTGTTTTGCTTAAAAAGTTTCCCTTCTGTAAAAGATGGCTTCATCAAAGAGGAAGGAGCATATACTTAGTTCCAATTAGTATTGCAGGATCCTGACAGACACAAGCATTGCCATCTCACAACCAACTAAAGCAGAGACAAAGACAAGTCTTGCATTACCGTGATACCAGATTCATTTTGTGAAATCTGTCCTTGAATTTTCCATCAACTGGAAATGTGTCATCAGTGGACACATTTTCACAGGTACTAAAATTGTGTTTCCCAAGCTTTTCTAAATAGGTGGTCATAACCTAACAAGTGGAGGCTTATTTTTTATGGAAAAGCTGTAGGATATTTTTCCACTTAAGTTATAAATTCTGACTTAAAAAAAAAAAATCATTACCCTTTAGTTCAACTCAACAAATTACCTAATAACCTGTAATTCTAAGATTTACGTGAAGAACATAAGGCAAAAGGGAAAGAAGGCTCACACATCTTAGAATTTTATATAAAAATGCATCACTTTGGGATAGTTACAATTACAGTCAGGCTGCAGTGGTAAAGAAAGTGGATGATTGCTACATTTAAAACATCTTTCCAGTCCTAATCATTAAGAGCAACAGAGACATACCAGTATGCAGTATGTCAAGTACATAAAATAGGAAAAAACGCTGTGGCTTCAACTCTCTAACGTTGTGATGATTTAATCCCAAACAGCAAGCAAGCCCCACACAGCGATTCGCTCACTCCCCCACCAGCAAGACCAGGGAAAGAATCAGAAGGATAAAAGCCAGAAAACTCCTGCTTTGCGATAAAGACAGATAATATCAAAAGCAAAAGTCATGCACACAACCAAAGCAAAACAGAAATCATTTCACTGCTTCCCTTGGGCAGGCGGGTATTCAGCCTCTCCAAGATGGCAGGGCCCCATCATGTGTAATGGTGACTCCGGAAGACAAACACCATCACTCCAAACATCCCACTCTTTTTTCTTCTTCCACCAGCTTAATATGCTGAGCATGACACCATGTGATAGGGAATATCCCTGTGGTCGGCTGGGGTCAGCTGTCCTGGCTGTATCCCCTTCCAACTCCTTGTGCACCCACAGCGTACTTGTCGGTGAGAGACAGGAAACCAAACAGCCATGAGCAACAGACAGAGAAGGCCTTGATTCCTTGTAAGCACTTCTCAGCATTAACTAAAATATACATGTGTCATCAACACTGTTTCCGGCACGAATGCAAAACACAGCCCCATACTAGATACTATGAAGAAAATTTAATCCGTCCCAGCTAAAACCACCATGTGACCACCACAAAATGTGATGCACTTTGCGGTGAACATGCATGGATGCTGTTTCGAGTGAAGGAGAAAGTACTTCTGATGTTTAATCTTAGACTGAGTATTACTGCTTTCATGGAATCCTCTGAAAATTCCTGCACACACAACAAAGTAACGGAGTTTGCCAGATACCACACCACTTAACTTTCCAAAACTTTTTTTTTAAAGTACTTTGTTATAAAAGTGACGTGATATTTCATTCCCTGTAATATTTCAATTTTCATTTTAAGATTTGTCGTTTTGCACTGTTTCAACAGCTGTTTCTGATAGCCTCCACAATTTCATTTGTGCTGTGTTTTTGTAATGAACTTAGTCCTGCTAGCCATGTTAAAATATTTAATTACTAGATATTAATAAATGAAGTACTTGCACTAGAAACCCAGAGGCATGACAGCTGGCTTTAAAGTATTATAGTTCAGCTTTCCCTTTTACAACTTAAAAGCTCTTCCAGCTTGTTAAGATCTTCATTCATTTCACACATGTGGAAGAAATAATCTTCCTTCCTTCCATCCTATGTTTTAAACTCATATCCATTTCTGAATAATGCTCTTTTCTCCACTGTCATATGATTTGAGCCAGTCAAGCTCATTTAGAATAATTATTCTCACCGTGGTATCTCAATCACAGTCCCCTCGAATTTCTTCCATTCAGGATCCTGTAACTTAATCTATGTGCCTAAGAAGATCTCAACACCTAAAAATAGAGCTAAACAGGCAGTAATATAAGCTGCTGCAGTAAATTAATTCTTTCTTATGGATCATCCAAATTCTGTTTGACTACTCTTTAGCTTAAGTTCTTTTTGTTCTGGACTAAAATTTCCCAATGTGTGATTCAAAAATTACTGCAACATAGTAAACTACAGCGTCATAAGCCAGCACTTAGCCAACTTAGCCCTATTCGGAGAGGCAGTGGAGGGAGTTTGTTCCTGGCTGCTGTAAATGTGTGCCTGCAAACAGAGAAAACAAACAACACTGAGTACCTTCCATTTGTTCTAAAGTTCATGCAGTTTGGCAGCATGCTGATGTGAGGGGAAAGCCTTACCTGGCTGGACTTAGCAGTATCCATTGCAGATTGGAGTTGAAGTCCACTTTTAGGTTCCAAAATTTTAGGACCACAAGGAGCATTTTATAGTCCCCTTCTGAAGGTAGAGAGCACAGCCAGGAACTCAAATTTGTTAGTACCACATGAGAAGAATGTGGAGGTCGTGCTATTCCTGGTGTAGTGCTGTCACTGCTAAGGATGGTGGCAAAAAGCATTCCCAGTTTGAGAATCTTGTAATAGGTCAACCTCACACATCACACAACAATAAGAAATTGACAGAATGTCAATTACCTTAAATAAAAAAAAAAAAAAAAACACCTTTGGCTGCTTGTGTCATCTGGCCTACATGCAAAGATTGTACTACTTTCTCTTCACAATCCTGAAATTTTTGGTTGAGCTGACTTCTCAGGAGTTTGCTGGTCTCCATTTTTCTTCAGAAGGATTCCCTGTAACCTGGGAGGAATACTCTTATATGAAGGAAAGATGTGAAAAAGTGCTGTGATCAGGTTGATCCCCTCCATGCGACTGCACAAAAATGAGCTTTTAAAAGCTGGTGGAAATCAGAATTGAAAGGAAAAACAAAACAAAACAACAAATCAAAAGAAAAAAATAAGTAGAAGCAAGAAAAGGATATGTTGAACTCTACTGGTGACATGCCTCAACTGCATGAATATCTGTTTCTGTACAACTGAGGAATTAGACTGTTAAATTCTATACTATAAAAAAATGAGTTATATCAAGAGAAAGTACTGAAAAGGCCACATACGTGAGAACCACTTGATGACGTACAGATACACAGGCACTTTGGCCGAATGCTAGAATTCTTGATTTTGAGATAGTGATCAGCAATTTGGTTGTTGATCTAAGGCTGCTTAATGTACAGAGAGGATTTTGTTTGTTTTAAGCATTTAATCATAGACCTGCTTCAACCAATGGTAATCACTTTGTCATTTATCCAAGAGGTTGTACAGAAGTTACATATCTTTTCATGTAAGTAAAAGGGATCATCAAAGCTCAAAGTTTAGGGAAAAGAAAAAATGGACATTGAAAGTTTTCTGCAAAATTTTTAAGAGGCACTTGAAGAGGTGTTCTGTCCCATAAGCACTTTCAAAGCTAAGCTTCCCAGTAACTGTTGAAAGTAAAACTAGATCCTTTTGTCAGAGTATTTAGAAATAAATGTATTGATTTCATTATAAAGCTACTTTGTTTTCATTCTTTGATTCCAAGTGTAACTGTTCTAATTTAAAGGTAATACAGACTTTTTTAAAAACGGAGCTTTCTTTCATTTATATATAGAAGGTATTTTTAAAAGTAATTTTTCTCTTTCAGTAGTATAAATTTCCCTGTATTCTCTTTACCCCATTTTCTGTTTTCAATATTCAATTTTTGGACCTTCAGTGTTCCAAAAGAAATCTCGCCACCATCTGTATTCTGCTCCCCATGACAATCTTAGTCTCAGAGATGAGACAAACTGTTTCATAATAGCACCAAATTAATTTGTGTGCTATTGTATTGAGTATGGTCAAAGTCACCAAATATAGTAGGAGATCACTTAAATGGAGAGAATGTGAGGTAGCAGAACTGTACTCAGATAAAGGCAGTCTAATTAACTTGCTGAGTCACTGCCAATTCTTTCTCTTTCAGTGTAAAATTACATTACCAGGAATATCCTGTTACTTAGTAGAGATCACATATTCTGTAATCTCTGTAAGCCAGATTTCTTGCACACATCATAATCTCCCTTCATTTCAACACAAAAGCCTTCTGTGTGCCAGTTTTCCTTAACAATCTTTTGGAGTCTGTGTGTACCCTAGTTTTGACTACCCAAAATCACAAGGATTCCTTACTTCCCTTACCCTTACCCTTATAGCCAAAAGCTATACCTTTTGTTTTTCTTATTTACATTCCAGGAGTTGTTTTCCAACCTTGTTCTACAGAATGTGAGTACATTTCAATTTTGCCCTTTCTATAAAACTGGTTGTTTGATAAATGCAAAAGTATGAAGACGCTCAAGTCTGTCTCCCTATTAAACAAGCAGAACAGATTCTGTTTTGGCTTTCTAACTGTCTATCCAATCAATAGCATTCCGCTCATTGACACTAAAAAATTTTCCTGAAACAAAGTAATTGATCAGATACAGAGCTACATGGCAAACTTGTGGTTGTGCTACCCAGACCAAACAGCTTTTGTGTAGTAGAAGCTATAGAGAATTCTCCGAAGATTTGTATCCTATTATACTGGCTCTTATGAAAAAGAGTGGGAATACATATTTCTCATTAAAAGGTTAAAGAGAAGCAACTCATATACATCATCACAAAAGACATGCTTTCCTGTTGGAAATAACTAGTTTTACAGTAGTAAAATACATGTTCAGATTTGTATTGCTTTTGCTTGGTTTTTCAAATATAAATATTGTTCTGGATGGATCACTGTATTTTACAATTTCTCTAAAAATTGAGATCCATGGACTATAATTCACAGAAAGGAAATCAAGGATGAACTGGCCCTAAATAATAACTTTGCCGCTAAATAACATTCAAAAGGAGGTACTCTTGGCTTTATTTATGTTTCTATTTATGCTATTGATTTCTTAAGAGTTTCTTCCACTAATTTTGACCTTAAATAAGCCCTATATATTTTTTTAAGGTATGAGTATTAAATTTCTGGAAATTGGATTCACATGGATTTGGAGAGCAAAATAAGATTTCCTGCTCTATTCAGAAATAGAAACCATTTATAACATCAGGTGGAACATAAGAGATGAGATATCTTGGCTTCCTTAGCATCATTGTCTTTTCATTAATTCAATAAAATTCTGTTTTTAAGGGCTGCTTATGTGCTCTGTGTTGCTGCTATTATGTAATTTCTTCTGGAAACTTGTTAATGATGTGCTGAAAACGTGGGGATTTCCACAGATTTCGTCTTTTGTATTCAGGAAAAGTAATAGTATATTCAGCACAATGCTAAGCTCAGGGGATGATGGTTACTATTACGAGATCAAGGACATTTCTATGAACTGCTTTTCTGTGAAAATCCTTGCATTCATAATCCACAAATTCTGGCTGCTGCTAGAGGATTGTGTGAGAAGGGTAGAGAGATAAAATACAATGTGAGCTTTTTGTTTTTACAAATAGGTTGCTATACATAAAGTATTAGACATGCTGTTTGGGTTTTTTTGTTTTATTTGGTTTTTTTGAGAGTGTTTTTGGTTGGTTGGTTCGTTCATTGTTTTTTGGGGGAGTGAGGGTGGAGGTGTCCCAGTAATATGGTTATTACTTTAATCAATTAAATTGAAGAGAGAATTTTTTTTGTAACCTGAAATCACACAAGCAAATGTCTGGTTCTAAGTATCAGTTTTTATCCTCAATTATTCTCTGTCTCTAAAGATTGGAAAGGTAAAATGTATCCTGATTTATATCCTGTATGATCAATTGAGACACTGGAATTTAGCTGTGGATCCCTGAATTGAATATCTCATGTATTCATGAATATCTCGTGAGATAATCTCCCATGAATATCTCATGTATTTCTTAACTTTACCTCCCTTGTTCTTCCCTCTGAAGACAAAGATATATTAATGCCCAGAGATATCATTGCATGCTTCCATTTCCATTTGGAAAAAAGTTCACAAAACTTCCCAAGGAAGTTTTCCCCTAGATAAATTACTTTTATAAGATACATTGTAACTGCTTTGTATTCATAGCAATCCCATCTGAAGACACACTAACAGTAAGATAACATCTATCTGATTTAAAGGCATACTAAGGGTTTTCCATTTGAACCAGCAAGACTGGAAGCCTGCAGCATCTTTGGAAATCAGCCCTTGGCCTTTACATGAAAACAAATGCAATCAGCATTTGGCAGCACCCTTGTTATTCGGCCAAAGGACTTGTACCATCAATGCCCAGTGATTAGTAAGAACAGAGCAATTACATATAAGACTGCCCCCCACATACTTTTCCTAGTCACTAATTGCTTTCAGGTCAGGGAATTCCTTTGCTTTTCCTGCTTAGTAACCCTCAACAGATCTCTTTTACAATGCTACTCCAGGCTCCCTTTGAATTCATGTCAAGTTTTTGCATTGCCAACATCCTGTAGTGAGCAGATTCACAGAAAATGTAGCTGCTGCCGGAAGAATTTTTCTTGTTTTGAATCTGGCTCCTTCTGGCCTTGATTCTTTTTAGAAGTCCCACTGAATTTATACCATCAGTGATTTTGCAACCTCTGCCATAACCCTCACTGAATTGCTTTTGCTTCTTTTTTTCAGACTGAAAAATCCCATCTTATTCTTTCGTTCCTTGTAAAGAAGTGGAAAGAAGTTGTTATATCCATTGGTCATCCTTCTTACCCTCCTCTGAATCTTTTATAGTTCCAATACATCTTTTCTGAGATACACGGATCAGAATGATCCTCCTTGGGTTTTTTTCATATTACTTTTCAAATAATTCCTAACTTCCAATTTTCTTTTTTTTTTTTTTTTTTGCCTCTATAGAGCATCAAGTTGAAGTTTTGCGCAAATGTTTCATAAACTAAGGTCTATCTTCTGCATAGTTATGATCAGCTCAATGTTATGCATGAAGCTGGCATTACTTTGCCCCAGGTCCATCACTTCATGTTTGTTTGTCTTGAAGTTCATCTGGCATTTCAGCTGCTAGGTGATTTGGTCTTATAAGGTGCAGTGTTGTCCAGGAAGTTTTATGATTAGATCATCTGAAAAATCAAACTGGTGCACATTTCTAGGATACATTTAAAATACAGATCAAGCTTGGGTTTGTAGTTATCTTTTGTTTTTAAAACTGAGATGGCATTATAAGATGAAAACGTAAAGGACAAGACATTTATCTTAAAAAAAAATGGAAATTCCTTCACACTAAATATGGTACAGGAAGCTAATATATCACTGAAGATTTATCTCTGTGCATCTGACATCTTTTCGACGAGTAAGCAATTTACTCTTTTCAAAATACTGCAGTTATTTTTCTTCATTTAAATTGGCCATTAACTCCATATCTTTTTTTTCCATGCGGGAAAAAAAAATCTCTGCAGTGTAGTTTTAGGTAGAAGCCACACAGCATATAGGCATTTAAATCCAGTTTCACTACGTAACTAAAAGTGCAAGAAGAGTATGAATGTCCACTTCATGGACAGTAGAACATAGAAGCTATCTAGCAGGATGTGGCTCTCTAAGTTGTTTGAAGTTGTTGACTTTGAGCAATAATGAAGATAAGTATTAGGACAAAGAAAATATAGGAAGTATTTTCTGAATAGAGGATTGAGAAAGAGAAGGAAGGACGGAAATCCTCTAAGGGGTCTGGACCAACATACATTTGTTGTGAGAGAAGTGTGGCTTAATTGTTCTTGGTGTAGTTAATAAAAGCTTGGGAAGTATGAAATATGCGCAGTGTACTTCGGCTCAGAATCTGAAATGACAGAAAGAAAAAAAAAATTGTAAGGATCTGAGTTACCAAGATATCACTCCAGTTCACAGAATCTAAACAAGGAACTATATGAATAACCACAGAAGCTAGACTGAACACTCCTGAATTAAACATAATGAACTATTCTTATGCCTGAGAAATCCTTACAGACTCCAGAAGAAAGGTAATGGAGAAAAAGGCTTGGATTCTATCAGGACATATCTCTAGCTGAAAATAGATGCCAAAGGTAAAAGAGTAGAATGAATTTACAGACCATGCCAACCCTTAAAAAAGGTGGCAGAGATAAAGTCTTTCTATTTTAATATTTTCTAATTTTTCCAGCATGCATGGGTGTGGTTCTCTCCTGGGGTGTGACATTCTCAAAGTGTTATGATCTAGTCTACTTTATGGCTTTTGAGTCCTAATATAAATCCTGCAGAAATAATTTCACCATTTTCCATTCAGTTGTAGTTTTAGTAACATCTGTTAATAATGCTGTATTTTTCAGCAAGGTCAATTTAAATGTTCTGAGATAGCTTTCCACTGCTATTTCTCTACAGCTAGTTCTGTTACAGTAATTTTATGTAACACAGTCTTATAGAGATATAATTTTGAATATATATAAAAAATTTATTATGTGTCCCTATCAAGTCATAGGCTGTAGCACTGCTTGTGGTATAAGCTGCATTGTATATTGATAAATATATGTTTTACATTTATCCTGGTAACTATCTCAGCTATTATTATTCAAATTATCTAAACTGTCATATTTGCTGGTTATATTTGCATAGAGTGAATTTTCAACTATTTCACTAGTTAGTTGTGTTTTATTTTTTTCTCTGTCAAGGCTAACAAAAGTGGAACCTTGAGAATTCATAGAAACTAAGAAGTCTTCTCCTATTCCTGCTATTCCATTCTCAGACTGCCCCCTGTAAAAATTTTGATAGCAACTTGTAGTAGACTACTTTTTCAGTTATTTAGATCATTGTGACAAAACAAATATACAAGCGAAAAAGAAACACAAAACCCCAAACAAATGAAAACCCCAAAACAGCAAAGCAATTACATGAAGGGGAACTACTTTTTGTGTCCACACACAATGTTGCCAAAATTCATTAGTGTTGCTCACCCAGTGTATTTTTAACATTCAGCCAAAGGATGAAAGAACTAAACGTTCTTTTATTCTCCATCCGAACAGTACTGCTATTCAAAGGAATTGTTCCACCCGCCTCAACTTTGTTGAGAAAAATATACCAGCACTTTATCCAAGTTTATCTTCACTTCTGATCAATTTGTTCATTATTTTTGTGACCAATACTCATGTAATTTTTGAAATCATAAATTAATTAATTCTTGATCAATTTTAAATTCTCAATACACGTACTGTAGGTATGTAACAGACACCGTTAAATTAAAAAATAATGTTATAAGAGGCCCTTAAAGATCATAATTTCCAACTCCCTGTCTCAAGACTACACCTACATTAATTCAAACCAATGCTTGTCTAATCTTTTCCCAAAGATTAGACAACAGCCATGTAACTGGGCATATAGGCCAAAACTCGTCCTTACTTTTAGTACTATGTTAATCTATAAATTCTATACTATTGAAAACCATGTAAGAAAAAAGCTTCATTTTCTTTATGGGGATTGTATTTATATTATTATGTTGCTTGCCAACTCTATCAGTAAAGGACAGACCTATTGGTTAAGTTTGGAAAGAATATATAGCCAATACTTGCAGATGAACTTCTATGGCAAAAAAAAAGGAAGATGGAACTGAGTGACTTATTATGGACTTAGCTTGATCTGCAATAAATAAATTAATTAATATCCTAATCTAAAACCCTTTTAAAGTCCATGGAAAAAATATTGGAAGTTGAAATGCTATCAAGCATTCAGACTGATAATTTAACCCACACTTCACTTGAAAAATAATTATTTTTATTCATGTAAAACTATTTTTCTCCAGGAATACATGTGATTATTTTGTTTTGTTGTGGAATGAAAATGTGAAAGAGTCATCATCATGTGTAATTTTCTTTCCAAGTATAACAGTTTTTGAGATCTGAAGGGCATACATCTCCCTATCATGTAGCATTACTGCAAGCCAGTTGTAAAGTTATATGCATTCTCACTATTGAAAAGAACTCATGTGAAACATTTAAGACCTGAACACTCTTGAGCTTTTCTTCCATGTGAAGTATTCTGTTGACTTCACTAAGACTGCCTACATTTTTCAGGAGTGGTAGGGTGAGGAATATGATTTTTATGATGTTAAAAAAATCATTTTATAAGATAAAACCAAGGCTGAAATTTCTTAATGTTAAGAAATCACAAAAACACGTCAAATTAACCTCAGAACATAAAACAGTGAAAACCCAATGCAAATAAGCCAGATTTAAATAATGCAGGTATCCGGTAAAAAGAAGCCTTTTTAAATTGCTGCTTTTTCAGTCTTAGTATCATCTCATAAGTCAGGCTTCTCCAATGGATCTTTTGTCATCAAAATGTGCTTCTCACTAACACATTTCAGCCTTTGATTCTGAGGCATTCATGCGAACTTGCCTAATCCCTCAGGTGGAGTCCACCACTCATCAGTGCCAATGGGCATTGAGCCCTTGACTTCAGCTCCAAAAATTCCTTTTTGCAGCCCTGGTTACGTGCAATTAAAGGGTAAATTATTCTATTCAAGAGATTCATCCTTAATGTGAGGGTGATTTATCTGTTTTGAAACAGATAAACCAAAAGTGCGTGGTGCTGATACTCTATAATGCTGCATGCTTTTCTTGGCAATACACAGTACAAATAAGAAAGTTTTCATCACATTAGTTGGAGGAATAAACTAGGAAAAAACCAAATAAATCTGCAAAATTCCTACTTCTTTAAAAAAAAAAAAGTTATTTCTAGTACTGTTTCAGTCTTTTCAGTGGGTTGTTATAAATATAAAACTGCAGATTAAAAAAAAAAAGTGAGAAAACACCTGGAAAGGGATTTGTTGAATCTATGTTAAATCTATGATTTAACAATCTTTCATTTTAGCAATACAAGTAAAGTTTTCAATCACTTTAGAACTTCAGGTGTTTTTTCTAATTTACATTGCTATTTTGTTCACTTAACATTTTACTATTAAAATCTTACCCAAGAAAAGGACAAGCACCAGAACAAACTAGAAATGCTATCTGAATTAGCAACTAATGAAAGATTCTAGTTTTGAAATAACGATATGCAAGTTTTAGATTTATTTTTTTTCCAGACACGTAGGCCTTCTTGATTTCCTGCAGAGAGATTTTTGGGGCCTGACATATTAACATAAATATGTTAATGTATTAGCCAACAAATTCATGCAGTATATTTATTCACCCCAGAGGTGGAATGATATGGAACTCATCTTCTTACAACTGTTTATTACTAAAAATGTATGTCTTGGGAGCAGTGTCCTTTGCAATCTAGTTATTCTGGTTGCATTCCAGTATAATCCAAATTATATCATTCTAATTTTTTCAAGGTTATTTAGAGGATGCAAAAGAAAAAATCCAGGCACTGCTAAATTTTGCTTAGCTGGAACTGAAAGTGAGTACTATTGATTTTTACACGTCACTTTTATAACCTAATAGCATTTAGATTGAAGGCATTGGAAAAACTAAAATCCCTGATGTCAGTGGTGTACTGAAGATGTAGAAAAAAAGAGTAAAATACAAAAAAATAAATTGTATATTTTTTAGTCTTTGGACACTGCCCATTTTAAGCACAGGGACTAAGACTTTAAAATATTTCTGTGATTCTGCTATGAAAGCAAGAGCAGAAGGAAATGATCCAGTCTGGAACACTTTAAAAACATTAGAATACACCAGCCAGACAAAGTACTTAGGTTTTCAAGCATCAGTTCTTTGGAGTGTAAAAATATTAACATGCAGCATATTCAGTTATATAATACTCTATAATAACATAAAAATAAACACTGTCATTTGCATTAAATAGTCTCCAACTATTACAGTCAAGTGAGGATTCAAAGAGTGCTATGCCTGACAGGCAGTTGATAATTAATATACTTCACTTGATGGTGAAGAAGAGAGCAAGAAACATCTTTTTCCTTTAATATATGTTAATATTTTATACAAAGGAACCTTGATCCTTCTTTGAAGCATCTAGGAATTAGTACCAGTGAAAAAAACCCCACCAACTGTGGTTGGCAGTTTTACAATAGCTCTACAGTAGCTCTGAGTCTGTGCGTTCTCATGCCACATTAGATGCTGTTCAATGCTGTAAAAATTGAAACAGTTAATATTCATGTCCATCTTATAATGAATAATAATTACAATGGCCACATTTTACACTTCTATCTCATGTAGTTCCAATAATAATGGTTTTTGTTTTCTAATAATGGTGAAAGAAGGAGGCCTCAGATAAAGCGCAATTGAGTCATCATCTCTGTAATTTGTATAAGTCTGTAGGCAGACATTGCAAGCTTTGGATAAATTGTATCATACCTACAGAAAGGTTCCATGGTTTTAGACAAGACATCTAAGAAGGCATCTAACTTCTAAGAAGTTTACCGGATTTTATTTTTCTCATTAAAAATATATTTAGCAGTAGCCATTTGCAGTATGGTTCAGCATCACTTTATGCATTAGAGAATATTTAGAAAAAAATTTAGAATGGCTCACATGTAGTGTAAATTTATTTATAAGAGTTTTTTCCGTTAATAATACTGCCTTGAGTGGGCATGGTGTAATGAAGGAGGATTAAGACAGTTAATTTAAACATAATTATCCCTAAAATATGTCCTTTTTTCATCCTGCTGACTGCTGCTGCAGTCAGAGAACTGCTCCTGCATATCCAGAGAACAATTATTCAGGTTTACTGAAATGAAAGATCAGGTGAAGATTGGCCACTGGATTCAGCAACAGTTGATGGTATTACAGTTGCTATAATTGCTCAGTATTTAGAGAAGAAAATTATCATTCTGATAGTGGAGGAAAGCACTCACCACCGTAACAGTTTTAACAATAGTGTTCAAACTAATTGCAGTCCACAATGTATGTTATGAAAGTTGCAATTACGATTTTGGTTGTTTTCTTCATGGTACTTAGGAGGTACAATTCTTACTATTCCTATTTAAAAACTATGCTGAAATATTTGTTTACATTCCTTCTCTCACTCTCCAGTCTGAATGTAAAAACAGTTCCCTTACAAAATCCTAAACTGTCAGTAAGATTGAAACAATTGGACATCCATGTACAACACCTCTTGTGTGTATACACACTACAGATGAGCACCAAGAGCCAAAATCTAGTGGCTTTCTACAACAGAGTGACTGCACTGGTGGATGAGGGAAGAGCAACTGCTGTCATCTGTCTTGACTTCTGTAAGGCCTTTGACACAGTCACAGAAAACATCCTTATCACTGATTCTGAGATATGGTTTTGATGGATGGACTAATCAATGAATGAGGAACTGTCTGGATGGATGCATCCAGAAGCTTGCAGCCAACTGCATCTCCAAATGGAGATCAGCAGCAAGTGATGTACCTCAAGGGTTCATGTTGGGATGAATACTATTCAGTATCTTTATTGATGACATAGACAGTAGGATTGAGTGCATCCTCATCAAATCTATGGATGACACCAAGCCGGTGATCCTCCATGGGCTGCAGGGGCGCAGGTGCCTCACCATGATCTTCACCATGGGCTGCAGGGGATTCTCAGCTCCAGCACTTGGACCACCTCCTCCCGCACCTTCTCCAATGACCTTGGTCTGCAGGGCTGTTGCTCTGAATATTTTCATCATCTCTCCCGACTCCTGTTTCACAGCCACTTTTCCTCCAACAAAAACCTGGCCATGCAAACCGAGTATGACAGTTTTTCCAGTTTTTCTTGTTATCTTGTTTGTGTGAATTAGGCATTACAATAAGCTTTCCAGTGACATCTACACCGTTTGGTTACACATGCCACAGCTGTCAGTGGAGAAGGAATAATCTTTTCTTACTTATTCTGAAGAAATATGTTTCACCATTTGCTTCTCCCTTTTTCAGAAGAATTCAATTTATTACTTTTCTAATCTAATTTTTGAAAAGAGCCTTCAGCTGCCCTTCTTTTTAAATTTAAATTTCCTTTGTTTAAATGATGTTTTCGCTCTTCCAGGTCATGCAGTGAGGATCAGTGATTCCAATTCTAAACTTTGCCTTCAAGAAAGTATTTAAAATTATTCTCTCATATTCAGCCTCCATATGAAGTGTGCTCTTACTTATCATATACTGTTATATGATAAGAAAGAATAGAACAGTTAAGGATGTTTCTGAAGTATTCCAAAGTGTAGCCAAACAACCATAAGAAGACTAATTCGAGTTACCCTTTTAGAACACACGTTACACTTACATGCATTTAAAACCCCTAGTACTGTGCTCTCTGCATGAACATGTATTATGCTCTCTGCATGAACAATCCTCAAGTGTTAAAGTGGATGCAAGGCAGGTTAAATAAGAACTAAATAAATGATCTTAAGCCAATTCGAAATGCAGCAAGTACAAATCTTTCAATGTTAATGGAAATACACTTTAAAATTATTATTTAAGAGAACAAGGTAAAGAAGAGTAAGTAACCTTGTAAAATGAGGGATAAGACAATATATGGAGACAAAATTGACACATGATATCACTGGGAAGTGAAACTGTGATTGGAAAAAAGAGCCATGCCAAGGAAAATCAGTTAATAATTGTGAAGAATTGTTGTAACTTAATAGCCTCTAAAACAAGGAGATAAAAACAAAAAATGTTGACTAGAGTATTAAATTATAGTACTCATAAATTATTCATTCAATAATTAGTTTAACTATTGTCTGTGTGAAGAAAATTTTGTAACCAATGCTAGCTGAAATATTATATCTAATATTCCCTACTTGATAGATTTTATGAGGCAACTTATAATTTATATTTACCTAAATTTAGTTATTGTTTCCTTAGAGATGTGGAATAAGGAAAGATAGTAAGGAAGACAAAGATACTGGACAATCTCTATTTTCTTCATGGAAATTGGATTAAAATTTGACAAATTAATACTGAAAGTGCTACAGTTCTAATTCTATTTTTAAAAGAGAAGCGTAATGACGCTAATTTGCTTAAGGTGCAAAAACTCAAACTCAGAAAATGGGAAAAGACATTGATATAATGCTATAGAAACTGACAGTTAAGACAGGCTGCTTTATGACTAAGTGATTCTTTTTTTTTTTTGTTTTACTGTTATATCTTGGATTTTTTTAATTCTATATATTTCAGATAGATTAAAAACTGTTTCACAAATTCTTTAAAAGGAGTATGCTGAATGGCAATAACATTTAAGATATTTTAATACCACCATTGTCTTTATATTGTTTCATTCAGATGCCCTTCAAACTCTAGTATTCTTATTCATGTCTGAGAGTCATTAGGTTGTCCCTGCTGTTTGGAGTTGTCCTTAGTTTGGAGTCAAGAAATGCCTTTAAAAAAAGGCATAACAAATTTCAAGAAAGCAGATTTTAACCTTTCATCACCATTGTCAAGCTCTAGACAGTCAAAACACTCCCTAATATACAGGACTACCCCACCATCTTTCCTTCCTTGCTGATTCTGAATAGTTTGTAGCCACTTGTTGCAGCAGAAGCGTTAATTATCCCACCATGTTTTTATGAGTGCTTACATTCTAATTCTCAGGCTGCACAATGTTTTCCATCGCCTCACGTTTTTGCCCATGCTGCATGCTTTGTTGTAGATTGATTTGTTGTAGATGAATTTCAGTTTGGCTATCAATCCTGCCACCTTTAGAAGGGAAGAAGCCCTAATTCCTATGTGACTGTCCTCAAGTGCTTCCATATTGTCTAACACTTCAACGCCCACCCCTGATGCACGCATTAGTACAGGGGTAATTGAATGTGCTACAGTGTCCTCAGCATATCAAATTTCCTCAGCACATGGCGGAGCAGGCTGAAGGACCTCACAGGCACACTAACCCTTGAACATTAGCATGCCACTCCCAGGCGTGCTAGTGAGCGTGGTTTTATCCCTTTCCACTTTCCAATCTAGTTTAAAACTCAATTAATTAGCCCTGCTAACTCCTGAGTCAAGATCCTTTTCCCCCTTTAACACAGGTGCACCCCATCTGTCATCATCAGTCCTGATGATCAAAAACCACAAAATTCTGCCAGTGACAGAATTCTGCCAGCCTCAGAGTTAGATATTGATCTGCTGGGTCTTTGTGTTTTTTCCTTCATCATTCCCTGTAACTGGAATGATAGAGGAGAATACTACATGTGCTCCCGGTCTCTTAGCCAGTTCATCCCAAGGTGTTGAGGTCTCTTCTAATTGCCCTTGGACTTCTTATTGCAATTTCATTGCTGCCTACATGAAAAAGTATTAATGGTTAATAAAATGAGGGCTATACCAGAGTAGAATGTTTGTTCATACTGTCTTTAACACAGGCTCTGGGTCCAGTCTGCATACTGGGCTTTTTGTTCCTCTCAGAAGAAAGTCTCCTACGACAATGACCCATCTTTCTTTTTTTTGTATGGAAGCGGTTTTGACAGAGGAAGTAACCTCAGCAGTTCAACCTCAGCGACAAAAGCAACCTAAATGACACACCATGCTCATCGCTGTTCAGCTCCAGTTGCAGAGCCTTGTACCTACTATTCCTGGGCACCTGAGAAAGGGGGGGCTATAACAGAGGAGATACACCAGCTGTGCAAGTCAGTAGCATTCCCCTCTATCCCTTAAGTCATGATGTTCTGCAAACTGAAGAGAGGATATGGAATCTCCTGTGTCATATATCCTGTCTGCCTGACTGATCTGTCCTTGGGAAGGTGGGGTATTATTCAAGTAGTCCCTCTCTTGGTCAGACTTTCAGATACTGCTCAATTTGCTTACCTCCTCCCACACCTCTGTCACTAAGCAAAGGAGTTCCTCTACCTGGGCACTGCCTCCCACATGTGTTCTCACTGCTACTGTCCAGTTCTGATATAAGATTAGGGGCACAACCTGCAGCTGACACCTGGGCAGGCAGAGGCATAAGAGGATATACAAGTAGGCAAGTCTATGAAAGCATAATAAGAAAACAATCTCTGGTGGTGCTAGGATTAATAGGTAAAGACTTGGTGTACTGCAAAACAAATGAAGATAAGACCAAGAAAGCCCCATTGTCTTCTTCATGTCTTTTTTCTCTCCTGCCTTTCTTCCTCCCTTTTTTTAAAAAAAAAAAGTCTTTACTGGAAAAAGTTCGTAGTGATGAGGTTCTTGGCACAGTTAACACCTGTAACATCAAGACAAAAGTCAGGCTAGGGCCAGGAGAGAATGTAAAAGGATAAAGTTCCATGAGGTAGTTGACCTGATTTAATGGCTTGCTGTTGCCAAAAGGGGAGATCCCACATGCTTTGCCATGTGCAGACATAAACACGCATAAACCAGCATGGTTAATCACATGCTCTCAGTCTTTTGTCTATGCTCTGGCATTTATCTGACCCTATGCTGAACCAGTTCATCTTGCTAAATAGGCAAAAAGCAAATCCATGAACAGTTATGAGAAGAAGTGATTGTTTATTCAACAATAGTTCACAAGAATATTATTTCCAGGAATCACGCCAAGAAAAATCAATTTTGTAATAAAAAAGCTGTACAGGTAAACTGTATCGTTTTGTCATATTCTGTGATCATGGTCCAAAATCACTCACTTTTCAGGGGTCTGCCTCCAGGTCTTATGTAAAAGGTATGTATAAAATGTATCTATAACCCGCCTTGCAGAAGCTGAGTGACAGAAATTTAAGAATTCAGACTGTAGACACAGAGAGGTGCTATGCCAAATGCAACATTATACAACAGAAGATGACACAACAAAAAGCAGCACCCAGAACTGAACTTGGGCAAATTCAACTCAGATATAGGAAAATGTCTTTTTGGGAAGTGTTTCAGCACCAGAATAAATTCTTGCAAAAGGAAAAGGGTTCTCCCTCTCCTGATGTTTGCAAACCTTAACCCAGAATCTTTACAGAATATGTGTGTTACTAAAACACGAGGGTTTTATGTCAGTGCAAAGATTTGCTAGGCTATCTAATAAACAAAATATTGCAAACTTAAAAATGGTTTCTTTTGCCTTACCGTCAAGACATACTTAGGTAACTTGTGATGCCAAGTGGGGGAACACACTAATTCCTGATATGGCTGCTTAACTGATGATTACTTCACGTGGAAGACAAGAATACCCTAAAACGTTACCTAAGCAGGACAAAGCTGCATTTCGCTAGGGACTGGATCCAGATCGTCCTGCCCTGACGCCCATCCCAGGCTGGGGCGGAGGGGGGATGGAAGTAACGAAACTTCCCGGATTTAATAGAAGGGACGTCTTTGAAGTAGCTGGTGTTGGTCGACTGGCAGTGCAGGGTGCTCGAGAAAACTGTAACGTTGGGAGGCGACGTAATAGCGGTGTCCTCAGAGACCTTTAGCGCGACGCGATGCCAGGGAGGGTCGGGAGTGGTGCGGGGGTAGAGGCAGTGCTGCTGCCGGAGCAGGGGCGATGTCGTAGCGGGGTGGGAGCAGCGCAGGGTCGGTGTCGGGGCGGTGCCGCGTCTGTGTGGGAGCGGTTCGGGGGCGGTGGCGGGGCGGTGCCGGCTCAGAAGCGGTGCGGGAGCGCTGCCGGGACGGAGCGGGTGCGGTGTGGGGACGGTGCTGGCTCAGGGGAGGTTCAGGGGCGGTGCGGGGGCGGTGTGGGGATGGTGCTGGCTCAGGGGAGGTTCAGGGGCGGTGCGGGGGCGGTGTGGGGACGGTGCTGGCTCAGGGGAGGTTCAGGGGCGGTGCGGGGGCGGTGCCGGCTCAGGGGCGGAGCGGTGCCGGTGGCGGCGGCGGAAGCGGGTCCCGGGGCGGGCGGGGCCGGCGTTGCCAGGCGGAAGCGCGGCGGCGGTTGGCGTTTAAAGGCTCCGGGGCGGCAAAAGGGCGGCGAGCGGCGGCAGCGCGGGCGTCCCGGCCCCAGGCGTCCCGGCCCCGGCGGCCCCCGGGCGGAGCGGGGAGATGGTCTCCAGAGCCGCCGATCGGCTGCTGATCGTCGTCTCTGTGCTAGAAGGTAACCGGGTGGGGGCGGGACGGCCGCGGCCTCCCGGGGGCTGCTCATCGTCTCCATGCCGAAGGGAATGTGAGGGAGGGGTGCTCGCTGCCTCCGGAGGTGTTTGCTCTGGTGGCGTGAGTGGCGAAAGCCAAGCAACACTGAATAATCAGGCTGTATTAGTAAAACTGTGGACGTACGTATCTTAAAGCCAGGGCTGGCTACCCCCAACACGAATTTGGAGGTATTTACCCAATGCATTATTTAAAAGGACTGAGGAAAGCAACCGTCCTGCCTTGATTTTTTTTATTATTATTATTATTATTTTTACTTTATTTTTAAGCAGTATTCTGGTGTTTCTATCCCTTATTAGAAATCTGCTGGAAGTTTTTATGTAGTGTTGACTTGAATGCTATACGTTCTTCATCTTGTATTTCTACAGATTTTACTTGCTGTGGTCTAATTAGCGTGTGAGTCCGGGGGCTGTCTTTTTTTGTTTCGAGTTGTTTCCTGGTTGTTTGGGTTTTTTTGGTGGAGTGGTTTCTCTCTGGCAAGTAAATCCCGTTAACTCTCTGTCTATTTATGTAGTTTGCCAAAGGAGCTTAGAAATAAGTTCCTGTTCCCTAAAATGCCCACAGTCCTCTCCCCACACTGTGATATAAGTAAATTTTAAGCGTTCACTTCCTCCAATCATTTAAATTGTTAATCAGAATACAAGATGATGTTGAACCCAGGACAAATCATACACAGTTTTAGGCTCTTTCCTAATCTGGTAGTGACTTTTTTTTTCCAGAAAGTGGCTGGTAAAATACCTTTTACTACTTTTATAAGATCATATTCTGCTACTTAGGTGTGGAGCAGTCATAATATCTGCAGTAAGCAAAATAGTCAATTGCTTTTTTTCACCTGCTCACTTATTTATTACCAATCATAAATTTCTCAAATCATACCAATTGCCTAGCTTCTTTCTCTCTGTTCTTTGTTACTTAATGCCTTGTTTCTGGATGCTTCACAAATAGTGTGTTTCATGTTATGTTCTTCTTTCATACTTCTGCACAGTGTGAAGGCTTTTTCCTTTTAATGTAAAGAACAGCTTTAGAGTAAGTGCAGGGAAAGTTATACAGGAAATTAATTGTATGTAATTGCTTTATGGCATAAATCTGGGCTCTTTGAGTAAGTGGAGGGAATGTGGTACAGGAAGTTAATTTTATGTAATCGGTTTATGGTATAAATCTGGGCTCTTGCTTCTTTCTTAGTGATGGCACATGGCAAGTAAACTGTTTTACAGGGCGCTGTTTTCCAAAACGACCCAAACACAGTCTTATAGTTGAAGCAAAGTTTGATGGTGAACAGTTGGCTACTGATCCCATAGAGCATACTGATCAGCCAGAATTTGCTACAGAATTGGCTTGGGAACTGGACAGGAAAGCACTTCATCAGCACAGGTAATGTTAAAAAGTTAAATCTAATTTGGAAATAAATTTTGATTTTCTTGTCTTTATGGTTTCTGAGATACAATTTTTGTGTTACTGTCAACTAAATTGGTTTTTAGAAACTTTCTTTTGCTTTAATCTAGCATAGTGTTACCATAACAAAAAGAGGTACTATTACACCACTGAAAAAAAACCCACAGGAGCTTAGAGCAAATTATTAATGCTATAATTCAAGCATTGGATTCAAGCTTTCTTATGTATACTGTGACACGAAATTAACTTACTTTATATAGGCTTTTCTGGCTTTTGAAAATGTCAGGGAGAAGAACTGAGAAATTGAATGTTTGAGTAACTGTCCTTTGGTTTTAACTTACAGTTTGTAATACTACAACCTTATTTCCAAAGAAATTAAAGAGGCCATATTTTCTTTGTTTGACAAGAGAAAGACACCTGCATGTACCATGTGCTAGACGCCTTATCTGTGCCTGTATGTAGTTAGGGACTTTACACAGAACTTTCTCCATAAGTCCTATTTTTAAGGTGCCTTTACAAGTGAAATTCAAATTTCTTGTGAGGCGCTATGCTTGTTTCTTGTATGTGGATGAGTTTGTATTTATTTGTTGTTATTGTCTTTTTAATAGCATTGGAGACTCAGACTCAAGGACACTCCTTTTACAAAGTTAAACCACTTGATTCATTCTCTCACTTAATGATGAGGCTACAATACATTCAATATAAATTCAGTTTCTGACCTAATGAAACTAGTTATATAAAAAACAATTTTTATGTCATTAGTGTGCTTGAAACTTATTAATTATTTTTGAGAACTAATTGCAGAGATAACTTTTAGTATTTCAACTGAGTTGCTCTTCCAGGCTGCAGCGTACACCTATCAAACTCCAGTGTTTTGCATTGGATCCCGTGTCTTCAGCTAAAGAGAATATAGGCTATATTGTTCTTGATTTGAGAGCTGCACAGGAAAAGAAACAGGTATATCATGATGTATAAAGCTTTAAAAATTATGTTTTGACAACAGGACTGTTACTACAATTTGAATTAAGGCACAGGCTAAACTTTTGAGTCTTGTTTTGGAGTCTGATTTTACCTGATCATGTATGGTGATCATGTGTGGGGGGGGGTGTTAGTACTTTTTCTTTCTTTTTTTTTTTCTTTATAGGAGTCTCTTTCTTGACTCTGAGAACATACACAAATGAAAGTGTTGCTGTACTAATCTTGCTTACTTCTGAATTTGATAATTGGATCACTTGCAACCAATAATTCTACACAATTTCATTATTTAACCACCTAGAAAAAATTATCTAAGCAATAGATATTGAACAATTGAATTGAGTCTCCATCATCAAATCAAGTCTTCTTTTTTTTTTTTTGATGGACCTCAGTGGAAGATGTGTTAGGCAATTATTTCTAGCCCCTTATTACAGCACAGAGTAAGCACAATACAGGACCCTGTATTATTTTGACATTACTCTTCTTAAGGATTTGCAATGCATACATTTGCAGTGCAATACATACTGTGCCCTTTCAGTTGAGGACTTGAAGGTTTTCTCTTCTAATTAAAGATTTATTTTATATTTCTCTTCCTAACTTGTTCAGTGTACAATTTGGTGAAAAAGAGTATGTTCAGCTAGTCTTCTGAGAACCATTCTACAGAATCTTTTCATATAATATAGAGAGTGGTGGTGAACGGTGCTGCATACAGTTGGTGGCCGGTTGCTAATGGTGTCCCCCAGGGATCAGTGTTGGGCCCAATTCTGTTTAATATCCAACAGGATGAGGTTCAACAAGGCCAAGTGCCAGCTCCTCCGCTTTGGCCATAACGACCCCCTGCAGCGCTACAGGCTGGGCACAGAATGGCTGGAGAGCAGCCAGGCAGAGAGGGACCTGGGAGTTTGGATTGACAGGAAGCTGAACATGAGCCAGCAGTGTGCCCAGGTGGCCAAGAAGGCCAATGGCATCCTGGCCTGGATCAGGAACAGTGTGGCCAGCAGGACCAGGGAAGTGATTCTGCTCCTGTACTCAGCGCTGGTGAAGCCATACCCTGAGTACTGTGTCCAGTTCTGGGCCCCTCAGTTCAGGAGGGATACAGAGGTGCTGGAGCAGGTCCAGAGAAGAGCAACAAGGCTGGTGAAGGGACTCAAGCACAAGTCCTATGAGGAGAGGCTGAGGGAAGTGGGATTGTTTATCCTGGAGAAGAGGAGGCTCAGGGGAGACCTCATCACTCTCTGCAACTCCCTGAAAGGAGGTTGTAGCCAGGTGGGGGTCGGTCTCTTCCCCCAGGCAACCAGCAGTAGGACAAGAGGGCACGGTCTTAAGCTCTGTCAGGGGAGGTTTAGGTTGGATATTAGGAAGAAATTTTTTACAGAGAGAGTAATCAGGCATTGGAATGGGCTGCCCAGGGAGGTGGTGGATTCACTGTCCCTGGAGGTTTTTAAGATGAGACCGGCTGTGGCACTTAGTGCCATGGTCTAGTAACCACTGCAGTGTTGGATCAAGGGTTAAACTTGATGATTTTGGAGGTCTTTTCCAATCTGGTTGATTCTGTGATTTCATGATAATAGCGTACTCAAAATAGATCAAATTTTTAGAAATAAAAACCAAGGTGTATTTCTGTAGATGATGAAGTAGAAGTGCTAGATCAAGATTGAGTTTTCTATAATAATAGTATGTTATCTTTCTTGGGTTTTAAAGTGCTTTTGGTTTTTATTTTTGATTTTAATTATGTAGGCACCCAAATGGTATCCTTTGCTTAGTAACAAGTACCCTAAATTTAAACCTGAAATACAAATAGGTGTTGTGTTGGAGACTGATTCAAAAGCACTGGTTGATGATTTTAAAGCCAAGGAGGCACCCCCTAGAGAAGGAAAGGGTAAGTAATATAATATCATTCACACTGAATTTAAAATGTTCCTGTGCCAGATGGACATATGACTTGTTGCAAATGTATTAAGTCTCGAATTTAATTTCACAGCAGTTCCAATGCAAATCCTTTGCAGCTGATTAATGTACCTTGTAGTAATAAATTTTTCAAGGATGCTTTACTGTGGTAGTTGTGCGACAAGCTGCAAACCAACTGACTTTTACAATGGAAATCACTTAACTCCCATGGGCATTTTGCTTGTATTTCTGGGCTTTAGAAAGTTCTGTAATGTAAAAAATAAGAAAGGAACTTCTTTACAGAAGGTAAAGTTTCAGTAGTTTGGGCTTGGAATTGTAAAATAGTAAAATGTTTCATTTGTTGGGTAGGCTTCTGGTTTTTTTTGATGGGTTTTTCTTCTAATCTTTCAGTGCTTAGATCATGA